AAACAAAAGAGGGCCATTGCATAGCTTAATCATTAAAAATAAAGGACTTTACTTTAAAAAGTATTTGTATTTCATGTATTACATTACTGCATTTGGCCCGCAGCCCTGGATAGATTTTCATTTTGGCCCCCTCGGAGAACATGTTTGGGAACCCCTGCTGTAAACATAGGACATAGCTAAACAATGGACCAGCAAGGTAGTGGAGCGATGAGACCGGTTATATACAAGCAGATGGAGAGAAGAGAATGAGCAACAGCTGAGGAGGGACTGATTACAGATGACCGACAGGTGAGTGTGGTTAACAGGGAAATTGACAGGTAAACAGAGGTGAGATGAGAAGTGATAACATAAAGTGAACACAAGAGGAAGACAGAACAGACCAGACTGATCCCTGCACTGACTTGTTGCCTAAATTTGTTGCAAAATGTCCTTCAAGCTGTTTCTTATTCCCTTTGACTCTGGTCCAACATTTTAAAGTGTGTTGCTGCCATAAAATTTAAAATGACCTTTTTTATAAAGGTACAATGTCTTAGTTAAAACATTTAAAATGCTTACAGTGTTTCGATGTGAATAAAACAGGAAATTTACGAATCATTGCAATGTTCAGACTTTTTCCAGACTTGAGGTTTTACATGTGGGTTGACTTGAACCATGCTTCCATAGAGCTAACTCTATGATGCATGAGAGCAAAGGTCACCTTTAGAAGTCCCACCTTAACTTTCCTGACATTTTCTGTGTGTAGTGTAAACACTGCAAAGAAAATAGACATATTTTATAGTCGAAAAAGTAAAAATTAAGTATTGCTTGTTTAAAGTGAAACAATCTGAGCAACAAAGAACCAAAGGCTATTTTATCTTTTCTCATTTTCTCACTCATCAGACCTAAAGTCACTCTGTTTTATAGGTAGCATTAGTTAAGTACCTATTTTATACCCTATAGATAGATACCCTGTAAGTACAAAAGTACCAAGTCTCTTCAGAACACAGCCCAACCCTCTAGGTACCAGGTGCACATCCCATGAGTAATACAGGGCTGTATTACAGCTGTTGTTGTTTGGTATAATTTGTACACATTAGAAAGGGAGAATTTTATAAAATGAATAGCTGCTCATTGGTTCTTGTATTAGTAGCTACTAATGGGCAGAGGAACCCTCAGAATGCTTTCAAAAACCAACTAAAGAAAGGCCACCATTAATCAGTCAAACACGTAAACATTAGGAAAATATGGATATTGCTTCTTTCTAAGTTTAAAGCTAATATTACTAGTTGATATTGGCAAATCATTGTTGATATATTTAAAGCATGGCCTCTCTTCTGTTTAATTAATGTTTATAACTAAAACTATATTATTGAAAGAATGGATGTCACTCGCCACATTGCGTGCTAAAGTTTTTAACAAAGAACTTGACAGATCTGTGATCATTTAGAATTTATAATGAGGTAGTCAGCAACAAATCAGGTGAGTTATAACAATTTCAGCTAAGGTGGAAGTGGAATAGGTGGAATATGCTACCATTAGAACGTAGAAATATTTTGTCCCGTAACGCTTTAAAAAAATCCCTTCAGCAATGGTTACTGCACTCGTCATGAATAATTTTTAAATTACTCTCTCTCTCTCTCTCTCTCTCTCTCTCTCTCTCTCTCTCTCTCTCTCTCTCTCTCTCTCTCTCTCTTGGATGTGACTTATTTTTATATTTTACTA